TGCTGAGCCCCAGCGGTCTTGGTGCGACTTTGTGTTCCCCGCCCAGTGGACGCCTCGGACGCTCTCATCGTCCCGTGATTGCCCCTTCGCTACCACCCCAGCCACCAATGCTCATCGGCTGCCTACTCGGTTGCTGGGCTCCGAAGGTTCCATATAGAGCGTAAACCAGAATCCATTCTGTACTAATGGAGCTTATCTGTGAAAGTCACACGCAGAGATTGTAACTGGCGAACGCCTTGCTCTGGAATTAGATTGCCTGGCCCCGTAACTTAACTTCTACTACATATGGTCCAGTAATTTAAGGCAAATTCCTTAATCTCCCGTATTGCAGTTTCCACAGTTGTGAAAACAACTACTTAGGAAGTTGTTGTGAGGATTAAGTCAGAAGGTATACAGCAAACCATTTAGTACAATGCCTGGCACATCAGTAATTTTAGCTATGATTGTTATTCATCAGGTCTGGAGTGGTATTGGTCACCTGTGTGTTTAGGAAGCTCCATAGGAGATCCCTCCCCCTCCCCACCCCCATAGGTGATTTCAATAGCATTGTTGAGTCTAACAAAGAAGGAGAAATGGAGGATTCTTAAGTCAGTGAGCAATAAGATCAATTTTTTTTTTTGTAGAAAAAGTAGTGGTAACCTACCCTTAATAGTCAGTTTCTGAAGTCTATAAAAATAATGAGGACCAAAGCTAAGATAGTGGCAATAAGGATTGAAAGAATGGGACAAAGTCAGGCGATATTAAGAAGGTGAAATGATAAAATTGTTAAGATGGGTGGGAAAAGTCAGCAGGACGTTCAGTTTTCTGGCTTGGGCATCAAGGACGGTGCCATTGGGAGACAGGGAGACCACAGCTTGAGGTTGTGGAGATAATTAAGAGTAGTTTTGAGCTTGTGGAAATTGAGGTCTGCAGGCCATCACAGGGGAAATGGTTAATTGTCATTTGGATGTACTAGTGCTAAGTTCAGAAAGAGTTGAGCTGGGATACAGATCCAGGTGAAACCAATGTGAATGTGAAGGATGAGAAGATAGGTGCAGAGATTGGTGGCAGGATGTTTAGTTGCCATTTGGGGCCTTATGAGATAATGGCGCCCTGGCCGTCATGGCTCAGTGGACTGAGTGCCGGCCTGCAAACTGAAATGTCGCTGGACCTGGCCTGCAACCCAGGCATGTACCGTCACTGAAAATCGAACCCATGACACTGGTTCACAGGCCAGCACTCAATTCCATTGCGCCTTACCGGCCAGGGCAATAAATAAAATCTTTTTTAAAAAGACTATTAGAGAGAATGGAGCTGTGAGCTCTATGAGCCTTGAGTCCCTGAGGATTTCATGGAGCAGGCTTGTTATACCACGCCCGGACTGCTTGCCTTTGGATGTTTACAAGAAAGAGAAATGTCCTATCTTGCTAAAGCCACTGTTATTTTGTGTTTTTATGTTATTCGAGGCAGAATATAATATTAATGGATGCAAGAATCTAGCCTAAAACAATCATTCAGTGTTTCATAATGATTCTTCAGTTCATTCTCATACATACCCACAGACACTAAGCTCAGATTGCATAAGCCTCCTTGTACACAAACTTTCTCAGACACAAATTTTGTCCCCTTCACAGATACTAGCCTTTTCAGACCCCACCTTCATACACACTGACCTCCAATATACCTACGCACCCCTTTCTGTGAAAAACACACTAGTCTCATATGGCTACATTGACTTCATATCCTCATTTTCCTACTACACCACTCCCTAACACAAAAACTTGGTCTTTTAAGTACCCACTGACACCATCTAGATACACCTGCTTCATTTATCACTTTTTGACTCACACTGTATGACCCCTTAAGGCGCACACACTGATCCCTCACTAACACCCATGACCTCAGATTCATCTATTCATACCCTCAAATGTACACACATACATACTCCCTTAGGTACAGGCATGGGCCCTTGACAAACCTTGTTCCCACCCTCAAGCAGAGATGCTCATTCCCTTATTCAGCCACATTTGTTCTCATAATTTTAGAGAGATTACACTGACCAGTAATGTGCTAGTAAATGTTTAACAGCCATCTCTCTAGGTGGAAAGGGAGGAGCTCTGATTTATAGCATTTGCTGATTTCCTTGGTATAAATACTCTCACCATGGCCGATTTCAAGCTATCAATGGTTTTACAACCTGTTCTCAAAATCCCTGGCTGGCAATTTAACAATGGCTCTCAGAAGCACTCTGCTACAGTACACCATGAATGCTGATTGTCACCAATGCCCTCGATGCCATCGCTTGCTTTAAGTGACTTACTGGCCTTCTGGCAAGGTGGCTAAGAGTGTAGGTTTTTAATTGTCTGCTTCACAGAGGCAGCGTAGTGCACAGTTAACAGCTCTTATGGTTTCATTATCTTAAACAGTTGTGATGAAGCTTTAAATAAGATCGCGACTTTTTAAAGTGATGTTTATAAATTTGAACAACAAAAAACAAAAAACTTCAAAAGCTGAAAAGATGTTTATAAAAGACTGAGCACAGCCCTGGGCATGGGGTGTCCAATCCGTGGTCCACAGGGCACTGTGGCCCAGGATGGCTAGGAATGCAGCCCAACAAAATTGTAAATTTGCTTAAAACCTTTTTTTTGCTCATCACTTTTCATCAGCGTTTGCGTATTTAATGCAGGGCCCAAGACAACTCTTCTTCTTCCATTGTGGCCCAGAGATGCCAAAAAGTTGGACACCCCTAGAGCGTCATCCGAATACGCCAAAGTTGTGGGTTTGAGCCCTGTCAGGACACATACAGGAAGCAACCAATGAATGCATAAATGAGAGGAAAAACAAATCGGTCTCTCTCTCTCAAAAGAAAAATCAATAAATTTAAAAAATTTAAAAAGAAAGACTGAATACAATGCCTGCCCCAAAGCAAGAACATTGTACAAAATATTTTTAAAATAACCCTTTCTGATTTACTGACTCCAGAGACACCCCAACTCCAGTAATATAGATCCAAACTCCTCCCCAAGATAATGAGTTCTATCATGAAGAAGCCCATCCTCTGAACAAAGGCGTGCTCCACATTGTGTGGTGCATGTTCTTAGGACTCGAGGGGTTAAAAGGAGAGGAAACCAAATATGTCAGAGCTGGAAGAGATGGCAAACTGGCAGCCCTCAGGCAAATTCAGCTCTCTAAAGAGTTTTGTTTGGCACCAGAATGCTTTTAGGCGAGCATGTCTCTTCCATGTTCACAGTCCCCATCCTTCCCATTGTCTTATACCCTTCTCACTTTGCTCATTTATGTTACTGACCCAGACCTTCAGCCATCCAGCTTGCCACTCTCTAATTTTAAACTAATACCCTTGTGTTTTTAAACTAAGGTTTAGGTGTGTGAATAATAATGACAAACGTTAGCCCTGGCCAATGTGGCTCAGTTGATTGGAGCGTCACCCCATAAACCAAAAAATCATGGGTTCTATCCCAGGTTGGGGCACATGCCTGGGTTGCAGGTTCAGTCTCCAGTTGGGGCTTGTTCAAAAGGCCACCATTCGATGTTTCTTTCTCTCTCCCTCCCTTCCTTCCCTCCTCTCTAACATCAATAAGCATGTCCTCAGGTGGGATTAAAAAAATAAATAAATAAAGCCCCGACAGGTGTGGCTGAGTTGGTTGGGCATTGTCCCGCAAAGTGAAATGTTGCCCGTTTGATTCCTGGTCAGGTAACATGCCTACATTGTGGGTTCAGTCTCCAGTCAGGGCATGTACAAGAGGCTACCAATCGATGTTTCTCTCCCTCTCTTTCTCCCTCCCTTCCCCTCTCTCTAAAAATAAATAATAATAACAAAAGTTAACTTTTATTGACCACTGATTTTGTGCCAGACATTATTTTAATACTTTAACCCTATGAGGTAGATACTTTTTAATCTTCTTTTTACAGCTAGAAAACTGAACTTAAGAGAAACTAACTTGCTAAGGCACAGAGCTAGTAAGTGATCGGAATCTAGGTGTGTTTGACTCTGGTCTACTAAAATATGTCTAGATCAAGAGGAGAGGGGGAGGCCATTCCAGGAAAAAATGACCCAAGCAAGGCAGCGATGGTACTTCTGTGGATGCAGGGCTCTGCGAGAAGGCAGCAGGCTGAAGTGGGGAAGTCTTTGGACATGGGGAGATCAAGGTATTGACCCTTGGATAGATTGAGTTTGCCCACTTCCCTCCCCCCCGCCCCCCGCGGCCATCATCCTAGTGTAAACCTGGAATCCTGCAAGCACCTGTTTACTGGCCTTCCACGTTCATGCCTATACGTTTCAGTATAACTCTTACTGTCATCAGTGTGATCATTTGGGAATGCACGGAGATCCCCTCTGAATTGCCCGGCTTAAAGAAAGCCCTTCACGGACTTGTCCTCGCACTGAGGGTAAACTTCAAAAGCTTTAGACGCAGCCTTGAAAGCCCTGCGCCTGCCCACCTGTCCAGCCTCTACCTCTCCTCTTCTCCCCATTGCCCGTTTTGCTGTGATAATAACACTGGCTAACACTTACCAAGGTTCCGCTCATCCTTTGGCCACTTTCACCCTTCGAATCTCACTTAGCTTACATATCATTTTCTCCAAAAGGCCCTCCTGACTCCCCGCTCCACCTAGATAAGGTTTCTCTGTCCTGCCGCATAGCAACTTCATCTTTCTTCACGTAACCTAGCATGCTATGTGATTATCGCGTGTGTGTGTTTAACGATTAATGTCTGTGTACATCACTAGACTACAAAGCCTTCACAAGGACAAGGATTGCGTGTGTTTCCCTCAATGCTGTACACTCAGTGTTTAGCACAGTCCCTGCTTATGGTAAGTTTCCAATACGTGTTTGTAGAATAAGTAGATGAATTAACAGATGGGCAAAAGACACGTCTTCTTTTCCTTGGATGGTACACACAGAGACAACATACTGCAAGTGCTCGGTAGACATTCAAATAGGTATTCACAATAAGCACAAAGATTTAGTTCAGCTTAAACTTTATTGGTTTGGCTTCTCTGGGGTACCCAGGAGTGGGACTGAGGCAGGAGCTGAAGAAGCGAAGGGCAGAGTCCAGTCCTGAGCTGGGTTTAGTCAGTTACTGAAACCTGTGGGGAGTCTAGAGCGGAGGGGAAGTGGTAGAGAGAAGGGTAGTTATCAGCTTGGAGTCAGCCGGTAAATTTATCCTGGCTCCCAGCCATAGTTCAGTTGCTCCCACCTCCAAATTACTTTTTAAATTAGAGATAGTCAAAACGATTAAAAAAAAAACCCAAAAAACAAAAACAAAAAATGCAGAGGCTGCTACCAACATTCCTATGGAGATTTTTCTCATACTCTCTTCTTTGTAGTCCTGGTCACATTCCTCTCTCCCTTCTCACCCTCTTACAGGAAGGAAGTCTTCCCACATTTGTTCCCTCAATCCTTCCCTAGCTTCCCAGCATTGGAGTCTAGATGTATTTTGGTTCCTGAGCTTCTGTGTCTGCATGTGGAATGAGCGTCCCGCCTGGCCCTTCAGGAGGCCGTTCAGGTGGCCTGCGTCTCTCCACAGTATTTAGTGATCCCTTTCTTCTAGGACATAATAGCTTGAAGGACTCCCTAGTTGGTGGGGTAAATTCGAGGACCATCAAGACCAGTGGTGGCTACAGAGAAGGACAACAGGCCTCCAACTATATGGGTTCCATCACTGGGAAGGTGCGTGGCGCAGGGTATGGAGGGAACGCCGCGAATAGAATGGGCATGTCGGCCTGGTGGGCAGGGGAGGTGAGAGCAGCACCTCACTTGCAGGAAGTGGAGAAAGAAGTGCAGTCTTAACAGCTGCAACATTACTGGATTCCTATGACTCTACAGATACTGCTCTCAGCTTTTTCCTTGCATTTTCTTATTTAAAACCAACAACAGTCCTATGAAATGATTTAAATAGCCCCAATTTTCATGAAAACACCGATGGCCAGAGAGTCTAAGAATTTGCCAGCATACGTTAAAGGTGAGGATCTGCACCTGTGTCTGACCCCAACAGTCAAGCTGATACCCACTACTCAAGACAGCCCAAGCCTCCCCACTCTGCTACCTGAGCCTGCAGAGCTCCATCTGGTCCACCATCCAGGCCAGCAGCTCTTGGATCAGTAAGTTCTTTAGCAAATCTTCATCACTGGGCGTCTTGGGTAAGGAGCTGCCAAGGAGAAAGCGTCAGGCAGGCTGCCTTAGCCTGGACCCCACCCAGAGAGAGTAAATACAGGGACTGGGACTCCAAGGCGGGGCTCGGGGTTGGGGAGGGAGTCAACACAGCTGCCTCTCAGTTACCTCACCTTTTAAAACTCCAACCCATCTGTCTGCCAGGGTACAGCCTCTTCAGTACAGGCAAAGCCAAACAGAATTCTGGTGGGAGACCTCCAACCCCTCCACTTCTACAAGGATCCCAGAATGCATCCCAAACCCCCAAGAGATTTGGGGAATAGTCACTAATTTTTTTTTTTTATTTGAGAAAGAGAGAGAGGAAGGGGGGAGAGAAACATCTCTTTGTTGTTCTCACTTATTTATGCATACATTGTTTGATTCTTTTTTTATTTTTTAATTTATTTTTAGAGAGGAGAAAGGAAGGAGAAAGAGAGGGAGAGAAACATCGATGTGCAAGAGAAACATCGATTGGTTGCCCCTCACATGCCCCCAACTGGGGACCTGGCCCACAACCCAGGCATGTGCCCTGACTGGAATTGAACCGGTGACCTTTCAGTCCACAGGTCAGCGTGCAATACACTGAGCCACACCAGCCAGGGCAACTCGTTGATTCTTGTATGTGCCCTGACAGGGGACTGAACCAGCAACCAACCTTGGTGTATTGGGACAACACTCTAACCAACTGAGCTACCCGGCCAGGGCAGCATTCCCTCTTCACAATGATCTGTGCCATAGATCTCTCAGCTCCCTCAGAGAGGGGATACCTGATTTTAGGGGACTGACCATGGGCGGGAGGGTCCCTGTTCCACAAATATCTTTCTCAATGTGTGTCAGGGAGAAGTGGGGAAGCCAGTTCCTGAGGTCTCTTTCACTGTCCCTCTCCTGCACACTCACAAAGTCATCAATCTTAAAAACCCTAGCCCCCAGCTCCTCCCAGGCCCCCGCCCCCATTCCTTCCAGGCCTCTCCCTTAAGCTTAGGCTGACCTCCAAGAGTTCAGTGAAGACCCCTCTTTGAACTCGGAGTGGAAGGGGCTGCTTATCTGGGGCCTGGCCCTGCTCTGGAGTCTGGGAGAGGGAACAATGAGGTGGGGGTGGGTCAGGAGGCCCCGCACCCCTCCTTCCCCTGTGGGCTGACTCACCCCTGCTGCTCCCTGGCCTCCTTCTTCCTGTTAGATTGATGGGCCAGCTCTAAGGCCTGGGCCTCCCTCTGAGTGACATCGTGTTTCCAGCTGGTAAGATAAAGATTAGGGAGTGGGCGGAGGGACAGAGGGTACCTCTTCCTTCACTCAGCCTCCCCACCGCTCATCTACAGCTGCCAGTGAACAGCTTTCCAGAATCTACCATGCTGACCAAACAGCAAGGGCATGGAGAGATTTGGCAAAGAGAAAGAAGTAGGACTAAGACAGTTTATTCTATTTCCAAAGTCTGAAGGGGCCACCACCAAAAAGCCATTGGCAGCTGCTCAGCTTCTCCTGCCTTCATCCCCACGCTCCTGGAAATCCCCGGGGCGTCCTACATGTCTTCACCGACCCCTCCCCTTAGAAGAAAATAGTTGGGAAGTTGCCCTGGTCCTGCCCCCAGGCTGGACTGCTGCCCAAATCAGGGCCGCCATGTTGTCCAGCTCCCTGTCATTGCCTACATGAAAGGCGCCACCTGGAGTTGCACATCACATGGCATCTGGCCACATATGGCACCTGGTCTGAATATAGGAGGGTAGAATGAGGCACGGGGGCCAGGAGGAGCTTGCCCAATGACTCACTCATTCTTCTTCCCCTTCTGTGCCAGCAGCCAGTTCACAAAGTCTTGTTGGCGGATCTTGTCCATGGCGATACTGTAGTCACTGATGAAAGTCCCCTCAGCATACCTGCGGCCTCGAGGTCCGGAGCCTCTGACCTTAGTGTGGAATCTGAGGGGCAGGGAGGAGAGAGGGACAGAAACCAGGACTCCATGAAGGGGCGGGGGTGCGAGGAACCATAAGGCCAGCATGAACGACTGTCTCTGGCCAGAGGCCAATATCTGAAAACGAACCAGCCCATTTCTTGGGACTCAGTTTTTTTGAAGACACCATCTTGTCCGTGTATTAAGCCACTTGGACTTTATTTTCAGCTTAAGGGCCCACTTCCTGCATCCTCAGTGTGTGTGGCTCTGGTTTCTGGGCGAAGAGGTATCAGAGGGCCCCCTTATCCCAAAGGACTGAGTCGGAGTTCCCTCCTTGACTTCTCTTGTCCTGGTCACTCCAAATTTAGGTCTTTGGTTCCCAGTCAATACTAACAAGAGTGAACTCTTATACATGAGTCAGGGCCTCTAAAAGCCTTTTAATACGTATACTCATTTAATCCTCTCAGTGCCCCTGGGAGGGAGACACTATCTACGCCCCCTTTTCGTGAACGAGGAAACCAGGGTGCAGAGAGGGTTAATGTAGCACAGAACACAGGTGACAGATCCAGGGTTTACCCCCAGGTGGTCTGGGCCCAGGTCTATGTTCTTAACTTCTACATGACACTGTCTCTCCTTGCACATGAGCTGTGTCTCAAATTTACATCACTGAATTTAGAAGAGCATACGGCTTGTCCTTGCAGCCAAGAATGCCCACTCTTTACTTCAATAGGTCTCCCTTGGTCCCCAAAACACTGAGCCCACTGCTATGTTCATTCCCAATACTCTCTGCTTTTCCTAAGTACTCAGGACAGTTTGCAGCTGACCTAGGAGGTTCCTTGTCTGCTCTGCCTGTGGGCCCGTGTGCTCCAGGAGCGCAGGCGGCTGCTGTGGGCCGCCCTTCAAACGTATCCCTTGTGCTCCGTGCCCAGGGGGTCCTCTATAAAATTTGATCAAATGCACACAGAAATGAATGTTTAAGGGAGATACTGTCACCTGCTTCAGACACAGTCCCTGAGAAGTTCTTCCAGAGATCTAACCACAGTCTCTCCCGCTGCAGCAGTAGCTCGCCATAAATGTACTGTCCTCACTCTGCGCTCAGGCTGCTGGCAGCTTTTCCCTGGAGCTTCTCTCCTCTCGGCCCGGGATCCCTTCCTTTCTCACGCCTCCCTTGAAAGCCAGGGCCCAGTCATCTCCCAACCCCCTTCCTTGCAGCTGGCCCCTCCCTCCTCGTCCCTACCTGGAATGACCCTCTCCTTTGTCTCCTAGCACCACCGCCAGGAGCAGGGACACCAGCAGCAGACGGATCTTCATGGTCACCACCTTCCAGGGGTTACTCCCTGAGCGGAGAGAGAGCAGGACCTGGAGCGGGGAAGCAATGTGCTGAGGGAACAGCCAGTGGCACTGTGCTGCTGGCACCTCAGGGCCACGGGGCCCCTGAAAGCTGGGGACACTGAGCGCTGGGGTTTGGAGCTTTTCTGAGGCTGAAGCAGGGTGTCTGTTAGGGAGGGTGGGAAGTGCTGGGCATTACAGTTAGTAACTACAAGGAACAAGGAGTCTGGCCAAGAGGTGAGCCTTCTTTCTGTTCTGTTTTTAAGAGGAGCCGGAGTGGGGCGGGGCGGGGGGGCAGTGAGGAAGAGAGCCAGGCAGAAGAAAGCAGCAAAGACTCGTGTGCCTGGACAGCCCCCCTGCCCGGCTCCAGTGCTAGACAGCGCAGGCATGTGGTTCGGCAAGATTCCCCCCCCCCCCCCCGCCCCCGGAGCCTCCAAAGTTCACACAGCCAGCCCTCCAGCTCTCGGGTCTGCTTGTCTCCTAAACCCTCACAGCCCTCTCGCCCTAAGTGAAAACCACACGTAGAACCAGGCCACTCTCCCCTTGTCAGACTCTACTATCTCGACTCAGGAAGTTCTTTCAGAAGTCTGACCCCTCTCCCAAGAGCTGGCCCCACTTTGTCCAGGGGGGTCTTCAATAAAGGAGGGCAGTAAGGAGCCTTCCTCCCAAGCCCCAAAGCCAGGCCGGAGATGTGCAGGCTGCCAGACCTCGTCTTCCTGCCTTTGTCACCTGGGTGTTAAAGGAGCCATCAAGCCACCTTCTTATTTCTTATATGGAGGGAAACAAAAGCAAGATGCAAAGATACTGAACACCTCGGGGGTACCCAGGTCCACTTCACCCCAGTGTCCCCTGTCGCAGCTGTTCTCTTACCAGACGTCCTTTCCCGCTCTTCTAGCAGAAGGACAGGGTGGGGGTCTCCTCCCAGCTCTGGCCCTGTGGAGCCTGCCACGAGGAAGTCCACCGAACTGCCTTTATATCCCGGCATGCAAACCCTCTGATTAGCTTAAAAGCATCTTATCTCAAGAAATTAAGCCCACAGCTCCCGCCACATTAAGTCCATTTTACACGTAATAAAGTTTCCCTTTCCACCTGAACTGTGCTAATTGGTGATTAACATTTGGGTGTTTCCAGCGGCTATCTGGGACCCACCTGTAGGGAGGGCACCGTAAGCGCCCCATTTTACTCCCCCTCCTCCCTTTTGAGCGCAGGGCCCAGCGTTCTTCTACCCCGACTTCTTCTACTGGTGCCCTCCGTGAGGAAGGATGCCCTTGGTGAGGGCAGTTTTGGGTAAGGTGGCACTAGCTGGGACACCCCCACAGACAATTGGTTACTTCTGGGTGGGAGAGGGTGGCACGGCCGCTTTCAGAGCTGCCGTCATTTGCGCCCCAGCTCTGGACAGCGGCCTACAGCATTGGCAATGTGGCAAGGTCCCCACTGCGCTCTCTGGGAGGGGGTCCCAGCTGGCCAGAAAGATGGGAAAACAAGAGGACAGTGGACTGCGGGGACATGAGGGATCGGGGTCCCTGGTGGTAGCTGGGCGAACCGAGAACTTACACTCAAACCATCTTCCTTCTTAGGGGCAGAACAGAGTAGAGAAAAGAGGCACATTTACACCTGGGAAGTCTGAGGGAGACAGAGCAGTTACCACACTACTTACTCATAAACGTTTTTGAGAACCAGTCCTGTCTCTTCAAGTGCACTCCTCTCCTACACGAGAGAAGTCTGTGGTCCTGTCTCCGCCATCAGACTCGGGGGACCCTGAGGTCAAGCTGTGCCTGTCACACTGCAGGGCTCTCCAGGGCTGGGGCTTGGTTCCCCTGACAACAGAGGGGGCTCCCTGAGAGCAGGGCTGAGCCAGGGGCTGCGTCTCCTGCGTCCTGCTGGGGTTTCCTGAGGCCACGGGCTGCGCTGGCCCCTCAGGCAGAGGACCCGTAGGGGTGCTCCCTTTGCCTGCCTCCAGGTACTTGGCGTGCGGCTTGGTCCGCAGGGGCTCTCAGCCTGGAAGGCACAGAGCACAGGCTGCATTTTTGGAAGACCCCCAAGGCCCTCTTCCCAGGTCCTCCATTCACCACTCACTATGGATACTTCAAACCATAAACAACCAAGCTCATGACAACTTAGAATCTTCTAGAGAAAAGCAGGCATGAACCAAGCCAAGAAAAGCAAGGTGGCGGGGGGCGGGGGGGGGACCCAACCAAACTCATGCTCTGCCAATTAGCTCCAGTGCCTAATAAAGGCCACTTTCTTTCCAAGTGACCTCCCCGGCCTGGGAGCAGCTTCAGCATGAAATTAAGTGCTTGTGCGGGGCGACAGGTGATCGGACCAGGAGGGCAACTCACCTCTGCTTCCTGGAAACCTCGACCGCCCACCACCTATTTTTCACCACGTAGAAAAACTTCTCACTGGGCAAGTTCTCCAAAGTCCGTCTCCCAGCTATCAATGAGCAGAGATTAGACATCCATTCAGATTTGGCCTCCAAAGGGGATATGGGAGCTGTTTGTGATCCTGTTTCCTGTTGAACCACACAGCTAATGGGCTCAGAAGAGTGTGTGTTGAAACCCTGGAGGCAGAGGGTATCTAAGAAGGCGGACATCATTCTCTGGTTTGATGCCAAACCAGAGTCAAGGAAGGGTCTGTGATAGGTCTTGGTAGCCCTGAGCTCAGCCGGGTTCTCTGTGGATTTGTTTTGAGGGGTGGGCTGCTCAAAAGGCCAGCTGTGCTTTAAGTCCCCACCCACCCCCTGTTGGAGGAGACCTCCCTGCAGCCCCCTCCCTGTTACCTTTTGATCTCTGGCCCTTGCACCCGTGCACTGGGGTGCACAGTCCAGGGAGCATGTGGCCTGGGCCCTGGGGGGAAGAGGGCTGTGGGGAGCACCAGCTGAGGAGATCAGAGAAAATGCCAAACTCCCGGGGGAGCTCACATTCCCCCCCTCCCCCCAGAGCATGTAGGGAGGCCAGGGGATGGCAAATACGGCCTTGAGAAGTTTCTGGGGATCAAGGACCTTCTGGGCTTGATCAAAATCGTTCAATAAATCCCACTGGCAACTTAGCCAACCCATTCGTGCTATGATGAGAGATGTACCCTGGTGTGCAGAACTCAGCGCACTGTAGGAATGGAGTGAGGATGGGAAACGCAGCAGGTGACAGAGCCCTAGTCTCCTGCGGAGAATTTCCAGAATGAGAAGGGGCAGAGAGGATGCAGGGGAGAGGGGAGGCAGGAGCATCCCTCCAACTAGCCCAAAGCCCAGAATTGAAGGCTGATGGCCCAGGCAGTTAGAGAGTTAGGGGTGGGAGTTGGGAGGTCTGAGGAGTCCTGGGAGCCTGGGAGTGTGTGTGGAGAAGAGGCGATGGCAGGACTGTTGCAAGAGAACCAGGGACCTGCTTCTCACGCCCTCCTGGCTTCTTAATTGAAGCCCCAGGAATGAGAGCCGAACAGCAGGAGAGCCTTTGGGGTTTGCTGAGTCTTCCAGCTCAAGGTGGTGAGTCAGCAGGCCGCCACCCCCCATTCCCACCCCATGGCCTGCAGGACCACCGCAGACGTCCCAGGCCCCGCCCTCCAGCCAGGCCTGCGTGACTCAGACCCTGGCTGCGGCGTCTCTGAGCAGACTCTGCTTGTGAAGTGCAGCTGGTCTTCGAGCTCACTGACTGACTCAGAAAGCAGAATTCTTCTCTGATCTCTCTTAAAACAGGTGGCAGATTTATTCTCCTCCTTCAAAGGAGACAAGAGGCGATGTGAACCCTCACAAATGTTGTTGAGTCACCTGGCCTATCTTGATTCTTAGAACGACTACCTGGAGCTCTACTCCCCAGCCACATCACAAGCACAGTCATGGTTCCAAACATTTTTGCCTACACTGGCCCTGGAATGACTCAGGTAAAGATAGATACTTTCCATGCCCTGGCTGGTGTGGCTCAGTGGATCGAGCACCAGCCTGCGAACCAGTGGGTCTCTGGTTCCATTCCTGGTCAGGGTACATGTCTGGGTTACAGGCCAGGTCCCTGGTGGGGGGCGCATGAGAGGCAACCACATATTGATGTTTCTCTTCCTCTCTTTTTCCCTCCCCCTCTGTCTAAAAAATAAATAAAATCATTAAAAAAAAAGATAGATACTTTCCAGAAGGATCTTCAAGAAAGAATGTATCGCCTACAGCCTTCTCTTGGCCATCTGCTGCTATAGGGGATCCGTTTGGAAGCCCCCTCTCAGTTCTAACTCCAATCCCTCTTGCTGTTTTCAAAGGCTATTTTGTTTGCTTTTGTTTGTCAAGAAAAGAGCTCAGTTCTTAGTTGCAGCCTAATCCATGGGAGGAGAAACCCAGTAAAAGGTACAGCTGGGAGGGGTTGCCAAACGTTCTCACTTCCAGGGAGGAAAAGAATTGGTGATGCATTTAGGATAAAAGGCCAAAGGGCTGGGACTCCCAGAGAGAGCAGCATTCTTAAGCCCCCCTCTCTTCCAGGTGGGAGCACCTCCCACAGAAAGGAAGTGGGGAAAGGGAGGGCTTTCCTTCCCTTTTGCTTGCACAGGGATGTGAAGGATGGAGCAGTTTCCAGGGTCCCCGGTGAACACTCCCCTTGCGTGCACACGCACACGGATTCCTGCAAAGAGTATGGGGAGGGACTTCTGCAACTTCAGAAATCACAACTCTCATTTTAGAGAGATGAGTAGCAGCATGTGAGCCACAACGCCACCATCTCACCACTTGTGAGTTAGGTTTAACTTCGGGCAAAGCCCTTCCTCACTCTGAGCCTTAGCTTGCCTGACTCTAAATTGGGAATAAGGAAACAAGATCTGCCCTGCCTACCTCACAGGTAAGTGTGACGTTATAGTATCTTGTTAACTGGAAGGCATCTGGGAGTGCTGGCTGATGGTTTTCTTTGGAATGACCTCCTCCCCTTCCCTCTAGGGTGAACATTAAATAAGGTGAAATAGTAAAGCTGGCTGACTTAACCCAGCACTTGGCACATAGAAGGCTGTGAAATTCCATAGGAGGAGCAAGGGCTTTGGAAACAGACGACCTACCTATGCTGGCTAGTGGGATGATTATAGCAACTACTCCTATGCTTCAGTTTGCCATTCTGTAAAATGGGGGAGGTAGTTGTTCCTACCTCAAATAATGGATTTGGGGAACATGGATACTTAGAAGATACATTCTGTTACATTATATCTTGATACATTAGTTACTTTTTGCTGCATAGCAAATGACTGAATTCTAGCAGCTTAACACAAGGAACACTTACTATCTCAGTTACCGGGGCTCAGGAATCTGAGAGTGGCTTGGCTGGGTGTTTCTGGCTGGGGCGTCTCATAAAGTCGCAGTGAGCTATCAGCTGAGCTGCAATCTCAGATTTGTCTGAGGCTCTGGGTCACTGCCCAAGCTGACTTCCGTGACTGTGGACTTCCCGCAAGGACTGCTCACCGGGGGGCTTTTTCCCCCAGAACAAGGGCAGGCACCTAATATGAAAGCCTAAATGCCTTTTAAAACCTAAGTCCAGATGAGACCATTACTTCAGCTATACGGGACGGGTCACACAGACTAACTCTGGTACAATGTGGGACAGGCTACACGGGAGCCGGAGGTCCTGGGGGGCTGCCTTGGAGGTTGATCACCATATATACAGGGAGGTGAAAGTAGGTTTAAGTTGTGAGTACGTAAAACACAGAGTTTAAAAAGCCATTATAATAATCATAACCTGCATATCTTTTTCCATAAGAACAACTGTAAACCTTCTATTGCCCACCCCTGCATAATCAGCCCTACAATGTGTTGACCATCATTGTCATTATTATAGAAGATGCTAGATCCATTAAACACTTTTTTGCATTGTCATAAAATTTGGCTGTTTAGAATCTATTTATCTTAGTCTCTTTCTCTCAATAAGAGTGGGAACTGAGATGATTTTAGATCCTGAAAACAGAGCCCGTGATTTCTCTGATATTTCACAAAGACCAGCAGAGTACAGATGTCAGTATGTCGCATTCTGGGAGGGCACTTGGTGGTTAGGCAGCAAATACTGCATGGGACATTCTTATACTAAAAAAAAAAGTTTTAAAATTGTTGTTTATCTGAAGTTCAAATTTAACTAAACATCCTGTATGTTATTCGCCAAATTGGGCCACTCTACATGGAAAGAGTTTGAAATCCCCATAGCTCGGTGCCATTCCCAGAGTCATTAGTCTGGAGGTTTTCAAAATCTTTCATTTGGAAATAATTTAAAACTTATAGGGATGTTGCAAAAATAATACAGAGAACTCCAGTATGCCCACATATTCGACACTTTTTAACATTTTGCTACTTAGATTATATCTTTCTATTACCTATCTTCTCAACATTTGAAAGTAGACTGCATACGTTGTGTTTCTTTACCACTTAATATTTTCATGTATATTTCCTCCAAACAAAGATATTCATTTATATAACTACAATAAGTACAATTATAAAATTCAAGTGACGTAAGATTGATATAAAGCCTATCGTACATATTATAATTCTTTTCAATTATCCCAATAATGCCCTTTTGGGTGTTTTCCCTCAATTATTAGATATAGTACAGGATTGTGTATTGCATTTAATTGTCATGTTTCTTTATTTTTTTTACTCAGTTTCTCAGCCTTTTTTTTTTTTTTTTCCATGACACTGATGTTTTTAAGAGTACAGACCAGTTATGCTATTGAATGCTTCTCAGTTTGCGTTTGTCTGATGTTTCTTCCGAATTAGATTCAGGTTATGCATCCTGTGGCCAGGATGCTAGAGAGACGAAGGTGTGTCCTTGCCAAGATGTCCCCCTCAGAGGGACAGGATGTCTACCTGCCCAAGACTGATGACCATTTTGATTATCCAGTCAAAGTTTGGTTGAATTTTCCCACTGTATAGTTACTATTTTTCTCCCTATAGCTAACAAGCCATGTACAGGAAGGCATTTTGAAATTTTTAAAAATTGATTTTAGGGGCTGAGAAGACGGGGGAGTGGGGGTGAGAGAGAGAGAGAGAGAGGAATCCATTTGTTGTTCCACTTATACATTTATTGGTTGGCACTTTGTTTTTTAGAAAGAGAGAGGGGAAGGCAGGGAGGGAGGGAGGGAGACATCGATGTGTGGGAGATACATTGATCAGTTGCCTCTTGCTTGCCCCCAGCTGCAACCCAGGCATGTGCCCTGACTGGTGAATTGAACCAGTGACCTCTGAGTTCGCAGACAGGCATTCAGTCCACTGAGCCACACCAGCCAGGGTCATTGGCTGATTCTTGTATGTGCCCTGACTGGGGACCCAACCCACAACCTTGGTCAATGGTCTAACCGACTGAGCTGCCAGACCAGAGCAGGGAGACACTTTCAGGCCATGCAAATACTTTCTTCCTCATCAGACTTCCCCCACCCTCAGATATATTTAACAACCATTGATGATTCTTGCTTGAACCCAAATTTACTATGAAAATGGAAAATGGTCATTTTCCAGTTCACCACTCCCTCCACAGTACTGGGATTTTTTTTTTTTTTAAAACAGCATTTTTGAGGTATAACTGACACGTAATTAACTGCACACATTTAACTTAAAATGTACCATTTGACCTATGTTCTCTCCCATTAAACCATCACTGCAGTTTAGGTAATGAACATAAATTGCCATCCTCAAAAGTTCCGAAGAGTCCCTCTCTCCTACCACTTAGGTAGTTTCTTGTTTTGGGCTATTACAAATTAAGCTGCTATGAACACTTGACGTGTCTTTGTCTGTCTGTCCGTCTGCCTCTCTCTCACTTTAATCCTCATCCAAGGACATTCTTTTTCATTGATTTTATTGAGAGAGGAAAGGAGAGAAAGAGAGAGAAACATCTATGTGAAAGAGAAGCGTCGACTGAACCCGGGACCGAACCCACAACCTTTCAGTGTACAGGATGATGCTACAACAGACTAAGCCACATTAGCCAGGGCGACATATGCTTTTCTTTTTCTTGGGTAAACACCTGAGATTGGAGTATGTTTAATTTTTTAAGAAACTGCCAGTGTCCGGCTCAGTGGTGGTAACATTTTACATTCCCACCAACTGTATAAAAGTTTCAGCTCCTCCAGTCTTGCCAAAACCAGTTGTGGTCAGTCTTTTTCCATTTTAGCTATTCTAATAAGTATGTATTGGTATTTCACTGTGATTTTAATTTGCATTTCACTGATGGCTAATGATATCAACTATTGTTTCATGGGTTTGTTTGCCATCTGTATATCCTCTTTGGTGAAATATATGTTCAAATGTTTTGTCCTTTTTTGGGGGGGTTATTTTTTTTTTTTGTTAGTGAGTTTTGAGATTTGGGATACATGTCTTTCATCAGCTACATGATTTACAAATATTTTCTCCCAGTCTGCGGCTTGTCTTCTCATTCTCTTAACAGTATCTTTTGAGGAACAGACATTTTTTAACATTTTAATGATGTTCAATTTATGAATTCAGCTTTTTATGAGGGGTGTGTGAGTGTGTGTGTGTGTGTGTGTGTGTGACATCTAAGATATCATTGCCTAACCCAAGGTAAAAAAGGTTTTATCCTAGAAATCTTGTAGGTTTTGGTTTTACAGTTAATTATGTGACCTAAATGATTACATTGAGGTATATGATTGAGTTAATTTTGTATATAGAATGGAGTATGGAAAGTAATTTGTGTCTCTGCATATGAATATCCAGTTGTTTCAGCACCATTTGTTAAAGATTATCTTTCCTGCACTGAGTTGTCTTTGCATTTTTGTATAAATTGTGATATATGTATGGGTTGGGTTAGGATTTCTAAACACTCCATTGGTATAAAGGCCAGAGCACAGACTTGGGGTCCAGGCATTGTTTCTATAAAGTAGAAAAAATGATACTACCCACTTCAGGGTCTTTTCTATAATTTACAAAGTTCTCCGTCTCTCTTCTGCTCTCCTTCCAGACAACATGCTAGAACCGGGAAAGCTGATCTTGAGTAATGTTTTTCTTTTCTTTTCTTTTTTCATATTAGAAATATTTTTGGCCAATGTGGCTCAGTTGGTTGGAACATGGTCCCATAGACCAAAATGTTGCCGGTTCAATTCCCAGTCAGGGCATATACCCAGGTTGCAGGTTTGATCCCTGGTCAGGGTGTGTAGGAGAAGGCAACCAATCCATGTTTCTCACATTGATGTTTCTCTCTCAGCAATGAAAAAACATCATAGGGTGAGGATTAAGAAATATATATATTCATATTTGCCATGGCCAGTGGCTCAGTTGGTTGAAGTGTCATCCCCATGTAGCAAAAATGTTGTGGGTTTGTTCGATTCCTGGTCAGGGCACATGCCTAGGTTGTGGGTTCTATCCCTGGTTGGGAGGCAACCATGGATGTTTCTTTCTCTCACATCAATATTTCTCTCTCTCTTTCTCTCCCTCATCCCCCCCTCCCTTCCTCTCTCTCTGAAATCAATGAATCAATGAACATATCCTCAGATGAGGAGTAAAACAAATTTTTTAATTAAAATATTTTGGAAAAGATATTAAATTTTTTAAAATTTATTGACTGATTATAGAGAGAAGGGGGAGAGAGATTGATTTGTTGTTCCACTTATTTTTGCATTAATTGGTTGTTTCCTGTATGTGCTCTGACTGGAAATCGAACCCACAGCCTTGGTGTATAGGGACAACGCTCCAACCAACAGAGCTACCTAGCCAGGGCAAAAATATTTTTTTCAATTACAGTTTACATTAAACATTATGTTTTATTAATTTCAGGTGTACAGCATAGTGGTCAAACAATCATATACTTTACAAAGTGTTCACCCTGATATGTCCAGTACCCAACTGGCACGATACTTAATTATTACAATATTATTGACTATATTCCTTATGCTATACTTTACATCACTCAAAATATGGAATGCTTTATGAATTAGTGTGTCATCCTTGTATAGCGTGCATGCTAATCTTCTCTGTATCATTCCAATTTTAGTATATGTGCAGCCAAAATGAGCACTTGACTAATGTTTTGCAAACGCTTAGAACCCCAGGGTTCTAAGAGAGAGGGAAGGAAGGTGTAATGGGTACCGGGGTGTCCATGAACTATTTTCAGACAGATAGAACATCTAACACAAAACAGACATTTGCTTCTGGCAAGGCTGCTTAGACAAATTCTCATTTCAAGTCCCTTTGCTTTTGGTGGGAATAGTATAACCTCTTGTCACTCGTGTAGAGCAGGAGTTCTGCTTAGATACTCAAGGTGATTATAGTTTGTTATTACTTGACCAATGGAATTTTTTGATAGGCAACATTTTTCAAAACATTGGCCTCATGGAGAACTAATAAAGAAACTCTTAGGTGGTGAAAATAATGGAAATCACTCAAAGAAACAAAGCAACATGGATCCTGCCCTGTGTTTTCCAGTGTTTCCGCAGCAAGAGCCTCCCAGGCTGATGAAGAAGAAATGGGCTTCACCCTTAGGGGGTACCAGTGAATGCAAAAGAAGACAAAAATGACTCAAACATAGGTGTTCAAAGGAGGAATGTGTCAGCAAGATCCAGGACAAACTGGGAAGGTGTGAGTCTAAGTGCTTGCTTCCTGTTTTTTACCATGCTGGTCCTAAGTTTCGGCACATACCGTCTCAGTTTATTAGGAATATATGTATAATTAATCAGTCCTTTAGCTAAAGTCAAGCCACATCCGTGATTGATCAGGGTGAGTTGCAGTTAACCCTCAACCCTGGTTGCTAATGGAAGGAGAATTTCTGGCTGCATCAAATCTTGGAACAGCAGATGATCCAGAGCTATTCCTTATTTGGCTTGTAAAGGTATCCTGGAATGATTCATTTTTATTACAAAGATATAAAAAACAATCTAGAAATCTTGAAAAATATAGCAGAGTCAAGAGAGGAAGAAATAGACAAGGAGAGAGAGAGAGAGAGACAGAATGGGAGAGAGAGAGAAACAAATGTATCTCTGTTCTCAAAACCGAAGAGTTACTGTTTACAGTTTTTCTCCAGGTTTTTGTTATTTCAATTAATTTTTATGAACTATTTATAGTTACTTAACAAAGAAAACATGAAAAGTTTCAAGAATAATACAACAAATGCTTGTGAATCCACCATTCAGTTAAGAACTAGAACATTAATTCCCAATATCTTTGAAGTGCCCTGTGGGCTCCCTCCTCCTCATCATCCCTGTGCTACTTCCCACAATTAACCACATTCTGGAATTTTACTCATCATTCTCTTTCTTTTCTTTAAAGTTTAACCTCTTCTGGATATATCCCTAAACAATATATAGTTTAATTTTGTATATTTTGAGCTTAAATAAAGGGAGCCATGATGTGTATATTCAGTCTGTTGGGTTTGTTTTTTGTTTGTTTTTATCAGCACGGCGGATTCGCCCCTGTTGGTGTAGGTTGCTGAAGTCTGTTCGTTGTCACAGCTCACTAGTGTTCCCTTGCCTAGCTATAACCTGCTGGACCTCTCAGTAAATGTGAACGGACATTTATGGTCCCTAGGTTTTGTTATTATAAACAGTGCTGTTGTGAATATTCTTGCACACTTCTCTGGGCATTCATGCACAAGAGTTTCTGTGAGGTAATTTCTAAGTGCACATACATATCTTTTTAAAAAGATGGTTCCGATCATATGAACTATATGTGTGCAAATACTCAACTTCGTGATGTGTACTTTTTGTGAACTTCCCTTAAGCTTTTTAAAACTGTTTTTGAAGACAGTTTTCATGGTTACATAGTATTTTACCAAATGCCTATGTTAAAAGTTACTGGAAAATTCCCCTGTTTTAAAGCATTTATATGTTTTTTTTTCCTTGAGAGTGATAATAAACATGTGTTTGTTATCTTTTCTTGAGATTTTGAAAGTTTTTTTAACTCTTTAAATCATGATAAAATATACATAACAAAGTTTACAATTTTAACAACTTTTACCTGTAAAATTCAAAGACAGTAAGTACATTTACACTGTTATGAAACTATCACATTATCCATCTCTAGAACTTTCTCAACTTGCCAAATTGAAACTCTGTACCCATTAACCTCTAACTCTCCACCCCATCTCTTCCTGCCAGCCCCTGGTAGCTTTTACTCTGTGCCTTTATGAATTTCACTATTCTACGTATCTCATATAAGTGCAATGATATATTTGTCATTTTGTGTCTGGCTTATTTTACTTAGCATAATGTTTTCAAGATTCATCTATGTTGTAGCAAGTAACAGAATTTCATTCCTTTTTAAGGCTGAATAAAATGTCTTATATACTGGATATTTGCTAGGAAAGTTACTCAAAAGTGCAATTTCTAAGTCAAATAGTAAGAATTTAAAAAGATTTTTGTTGCCTGAAAATTATTCACTTGCACAGCCATATGGAATGTTTTATTTCACTATATTCTTGCTGGTAAGGAGTATTACACATTAGAAATTAAAACACCCTATTCTGTTCCCTGGACAGGAAGCTCAGTTGGTTAAAGTGTCACTTCATACACCAAGAAATGTTGCAGTTTCGTTTCCCGGTCAGAGCACATACCTAGATTGTGGGTTCAGTCCCCAGTCAGGGTACATACTGGAGGCAACCGATCTATGTTTCTCTCTCACACCAATGTTTTTTTTTTCTTTCTCTAAAATCAATAAATATATACTTGGGTGAGGATGAAAAAGAAAAACCAACCCACTTTACTCTTTTTGTGACGTGCTTAATTTTGTTTTAATTTAGCCTACTGTAAAAATTGCTTTGCCTTTTTCTTCAGTGTTCATAGCTGTATCAAAACCGAGAATTTTCAATAAACATCTGCTACGGGTAGGTGGCTTTCCCAGACATCCTGGGAATTACCAAGATGGAGGGCTGTCTTGGGGTGGCATTTTTGCTTTGAATGACATACCAAATAACAAAGCTTTACATGGTTAATGGGGTGCTAGCTACAATCCCAGGAAAAAAGACCCCAACAGAGCTCTTGGTAGGAGGTGCATGTGGGCTGTTTCTTGAGTTTATCATCCTGGCTGTGTGGTCAAGGGACAGCAAGATGGCAAAGGGCTGTGCCAACTGACAGTTGCCACTGACTGCCTGAAACCCTAAGTTGAGAACCCCAAGGATATATGACCAGACAGAAGGGAAAAAATGCTCATCAGTGGACTTTGGGCACAGCATTGTTGTGGGCACAAGACTAGGAAATGACAAGCCTAGAGATAGTCCTTGGTTGCTATTCCTGTTTTTAAAAAAAAATAAAATACAGTTAACATACAACGTAATATTAGTTTTGGCTGTACAACAGTTATTCAACATTCACATACCCAATAGAAGCGATCATGGTGAGTCTAGTGAGCAGTTGTTTACCATACAAAGTTATTATTGACTCTACTGCACAATACATCCTTGTCACTTACTTTACAACTGGAAATTTGTACCTCATACTCTTCTTCACCTTTTTTGCCCTTCCGCCCACCTCCTCCCTGGCAACCATCAGTTTGTTCTCTGTATCTACAAGTCTGTTTTGTTTTTTAGATTCTACATGTAAATGCAATCATACAGTATTAGTCCTTCCCTCCTGACTCACTTCACTTACATAATACCCTGTAGGTCCCCCCCATGTCGCTGTAAATGGCAAGATTTCATTCTTTTTCATCGCTAGTAATATTCCATTATGTATATGTACCACATCTTCTTTATCCACTTACCTATTGATGGACACTTAGGTTATTTTAATAGCTAGGCTATAGTAAATAACCCTTCAATGAACATGGGGTTGCATACACCTTTTCAAATGAGCGTTTTTATTTTCTTCAAATGCATAACCACAAGTGGAATCACTGGGTCACATGGTAGTCCTATTTTTAATTTTTTCAGGGACCTTCACTGTTTTCCATGGCGGCTGCACCAATTTGCAACCCCACAACTGGTGCACACGGGTCCCCTCTTCTCCGCGTCCTCACCAGCACTAGTTTGTTGGTTGCTGTTTTGATGTAGACTAATTCATGTTTTGAATGACTGCATTTACCTGTATTTCACCTGGTAATTGTGGAGTATAATATTTACAAAAAAAGAAAAAAGAAAAAAGGAAGGAAGAAAAAACACTTAATAGGCTAAACACAGCGTTTTACCTTATCACAATGTCTTCTCAGATAGTGCCGAAAGATACTTATTTACTATATATTTTGGACACCTGTCAACATTGTGTTGGACTCCCCGAGTAATTTATAGTTTTTGCCCTCGAAGATTTGATACGTAAAGTGCTGATAACAAAATCAGTTATAAGCAACATACGATAGAGAAAAATAATACCGAGAAGTAAAAGTGGTGAACGTTCAGACGACTGGACCGAGCACATGGTGGTGGGGCTCTGGGTCTGACCTGCCCTGGGGTTCTCAGAAAATGCAACGAGAGTCTCATTTTGGTGTATAAAATAATTCAAGCATCTCTGAGTCCTTCCACTTCACCAGAAATACATTTGAATGATAACAAGCAGTGAAGGTGGGAGAGGGAGAAGGAAAAGGGAAGGAGTGAAAGAGAAAAAGAGAGAAAATTTGGATGGGTATGCTGATTAAAAAGAGAGAAGGAATGGATTGAGGGCCAGAGAGCCCAAGACTAGTAAAAGGGGGAAGAGAAGTGACAAAGGAAAAAGAAAAATTGAAAAGAGGGTAAAGGTAAAGGGGGGGAGGAAAGGAATTGACAGTGTCGGGAGTAGGAAGAAAAATGGAGGAACAAAAGGAGGGGGGAGGGAGAGAAAGGGAGGGGTTGGGGGAGGGGCAGGGAGGAAGAGGAAGATAGGGAAAGAGAGCATGAATCTTATTTCAAAGCAATTTAGAAATAACTCTAATATTTGTTTCCTACACACTTTATAAGCACATTTTAAAAATGAAAACTATAAAAACTTATTCACTAATTTATCGTATGACTGTTGACCAAATACTTTTCGGTTTTCTTTAGGCATGGGAGTTGTGTTAATAATAATTCTTAAAAATGCGAGGGTGTTTAGGAAAGAGGTGGATGGACAAAAACTCCTT